AAAAAAAAAAATCTGACTGTCCCTTATGTGGAAAACAAAAGAAGGTATTGTAAAGAACTGTTTTTGTCAAGTCAACGGGATATAAAAACAACAGTGGCATCACACTGACATTCAGTGTATGAAGAAAGCACTGAAACATCAAAATATTCTTTGCTTTGAAGCAACATAAGGGTGATTAAATGTGATAAAATTTTCCTTTTTGCCTGAATTATCCTTGTGAAGTTCAACGTTTGGCATCGCATCCATTTCCAATGTTTAATGCTGGAGACGATTAAGCACAAGGGGGGGAAAGTGAATCTTTAATTCATCAGTTCTACTGGAAATGATTCACTGGAGACTAAAGGCTGCTTGAAGGGCAGAAACTCCCCCTCCCTCCACAGCCTGCGTTTCATTGGCCGAGTCAAGTGATGTCATGGAGGGTGAAACTGTATAAATAGCCCAGCACTGCTGACATTTAGACAGAATCAAAAGTCTCTGACAGCACTAACTTATCAGACATCCATCCACTTGTGGAGCATCTCTGGACATCTCTGGACAACATGTGCCGATCACTAGAGCATCTGCCAATCACTTGTCTGGAAAGGTATGTTTCATATTTACTTAAAAATAAATACTGGTAGAACAGCTCAAATGCTACTTTTTGTTTTAAACTAGACCTTGCTTAAGTAGCTTAAACCTAAATCACCTATCACAGTTAAATAATAATGTAGAAAGTACTTTCCCCACTGAAATGATGAACACTTTTGTTCCTCACAGGGCAAAGGAGCTCAAGGCTCGGTTTGGAAGTTTTCTACTAAAGCAAGAGCTCAACATCATGGGCCACTCACAAAAAACTGACAAACTAACTTTCCATGAACTCCTGGCTCACAAAGGTAAATTCATATCATCAAGCAATGTAAAAGCACATTGTTCTCAGGCTGTAGAATGAAAGGGTCATCTAATGTTTTCATCATGTTTCTTCGCAGAGGGGCTGTGCGCTTTCACAACATTCCTGGCATCTGAGTACAGTGAAGAAAATATTGCTTTCTATTTGGCCTGTGAGGACTACAGGAACACAAAGAGCTCCTCGAAGCTGTGCGCCAAGGCCAGGAAAATCTATGAGGAGTTCATCGCCTCTGACGCACCAAGAGAGGTACATTTTCTAAGAGTATTAACAGCACAAAAGACTCGCACTTAATAGATTTTCATGGAAAAAGTCTAACGGCAAATCATTCCTCTGCGTATTTTCAGGTTAATCTTGATCATGAAATTAGAAACATCACCTTGAAGAATATGAAGCAGCCCACACTGTCCTGCTTCAACCTCGCCCAGAGTAAAATTTACACCCTTATGGAGAAAGACTGCTACCCTCGTTTCCTCAAGTCAACAGTCTACCAGGAACTCATCACACAGCATGTGGGTTAAACTACCCTAAAGACGGCAGCGGAGGAATGCGTCCCTGATAAACATTGCATTTGTGTGACGTGATGGTCACTGAATGATCTGAACCGGTTTCCTGAGGTTCAGGAGGAATGGACACACAGATTCAAAAGCCGACTGGAAGGCCTCGAGCATTCGAGAACATTGATTCTATGAACACAGCAGTGGAACACACAGTGATAAAAATTGTAGCACTGGACAATAACTGTGAAAGTGGAATGACTTTTGCACA